GAGTGAGCGGAGGCCGGTGGGCTTGAGAACGGCACAGCTGGCGGATTTGACGAAGGAGCGGCCGGTGGGCTTGTGGCAACCACATGTGACGACCCCAGGCTGGACTTCGTTTCGTCCACGGTGAAAGCCGATCCGGCGATCAACAGCGCGTAGTTGAAGTATTTCCTCAGCGACCAGCACTGATCAGCTCCAGGCATGACGAAGCGGATATCATCCTCTTTTGGAAGGTCAAACAAAGTAGTTTCGCTTTCACAACGAAGCACACAGCGTCTTTACGACATGGCGGCGGAAACAACAAAACTACATCGAGAATAAAAGTTACGCCTTCTTTTTTTGCGTGAACATTTGGGCGGCGTTATGTAAATCTTCCCACATAGAGTGAGGTAGACGTGGGGGCGTGTTAGAACGAGCCGTTTTAGATAGGTTTGACTGACTCTTAACTTTTATAAAGAATATCTCTTTGGATTTGAGACTTTAGTCTTTGCAACTTTACAGATCTTCTTTATGCACCAAGAGCTTGTAACACTCCAAAGAGAAAGGAAAAATTGAAATCGCATCATATGACCCCTTTAATCTGAAGTGCATTCTATATTATTTTAACAGATGAGAAAGAACAATCCAAGAATCTTTATATTATGTAACAAACACATTCAACTGAAAGGAAAAAAAGTTCACATGACAACAAAGGACATACCATGCAAAAAAAAGTTGATCTACAGACGTAGGAATAGCTTTCATCTTTCAAACATTTCAGCTCCAATCCCCACAGGTTTTATCATCATCGGGCCCCCAGGGGCCCGGCAGCGCTCCAAAAATTTCAGGTATGCAACATTCTTTACGAGATTCAGAAAGCAGCTGCTTATAATCGGGTTGGTTAGGCCGCTGTTACTCGCCGTTATAGTGAGGAGGACGTTTCTCTTTGAACGCCAGCAAACCTTCCAGCCTGTCTTTGGTTGGGATCACCTAGGAGACAACAGAGTCACATATATCAGAGGAATGCTGAAGCTGTGCTTCTTAAGAGCTAAATATAGTGGCTTCCTGAGTGATCTAGGCCAGCGTTCACTCTCTCTTCATGAAGTGCATTATGTTAACACGTGAAATGGCTGATACACAGACTGATTATAGCTGATTAAAGCATTACATGCATTCCTTTTATATACTTAAATGTTTAGGCATTTTGGCAGGACACTATGAGGAGAAACAGGAAAGGAGAGGGGAAAACAGAACTGGGAAAAGACCTCAAGCTGGGACTTGAACTGGAGTAAATTTGTCAGAGCGCCGCTCACATGGAAATGACTATTGAAAGGTTTATTCATCATTGTTAAAATAAATTACTCAATGATGAAAACAAATGGGGTTTTTACTTCTGGAACCCAACCCAGCAATATAAGAACAATATTTCATTCAACAAAATTGTAGCTTGATTCTCAGATTAATGGAAAAGTCCACTGTGTAAACATACCTGAGCATAGCATGCCTCTTCAACGGCTAATCCGGTCTTCAAATCCACCTGGAACAAATCAATGTCATCAGTTGTCATTCGCAGACTGTTTATATGAAGCACAATTACTGTATTAGCTGCTAGAGAACTTAAGTCTGAAATGATGTTGAATGCGTACACAACACACTTTATTTTCTCATTGTAGCTGTAGGGACAAACCATCCAATAAACGTGCAAGAGCTCCTCATGACAGAAAAAAAGAGACCTACTTTAATAGGCGACCTTGGCATTTTCACAAAAACATAAATATCTGAACCCTTCATTTGAAAAACAACCGAATTTTAAGCAAATGTCCTTTGGCATTATAGGCTCAATAGAGCTCTTTGTGTATTTAACTACCACTCTTCTAAAAAAATAATAATGATAAAGGTTGGACACAAATAAGATATTTTTCTTCTTAGTGAGGAATTTTTTTTAACCCAGGCTCATTGGAAATGACATTTGTGAAAAATGATTTTACTTTGCTTCTTGCACGTTCCACTACTCCTTCAAAGTGAAATGTCAGGTGAGTGGTGCTATCAAGACAGAATACTGTGAATCTGGCAAAGTTTTATTACGTTGGTTGCTACATGACAGTACAGAAACAAAATGTCCGGTAATTGGCGATAAAAGATTAATATTCTATCACATTTGAAAATAATGCAGCACCTACACTAAACCTGACCCTAAACCTACACGATAGTGTTAACAAAAGCAAATGTGAGATAAAAACGCATTTGCTGAGGCAACCATGCTGTTTTAGATTGCTTCTACAAGTCTTTGAGCTCTTTATCTTGTTTGTGTTTCACAGGACTCATAACAAAGTACTTCAAATCACAAGTACAATGCTTTACCAGGTGCGCTACCGAGCAAGCTTACTTTTTTAGATAAGCCATACATACGGAGCTGGTTATGTGATGGAAATAGCAAAATGCATTAGTTTACAAAAAAAATTTTGTGGCCATAACATGGTATTGTGCAAGGAACCAAAAGAAAATAAGTCTTTATTAATTAATAATCTGTCCCTGTATTCATGTAATCATAATTTATGTGAAAAGGAATAAAAGCTGTTGAGGTTTTAATGCCACTAGTGTTAATTTTACCTGGAAACTGCAGTGTTTCTGCAATTGTATGTATTAGGGCTGGGCGAATTATCACGATAACATTTTTCATTTCAGTCGATATTGATAATTATCATGATAAATGTCAAATCTTTATTTCTTTCAAGTTTAAAGGCAGATTTCTTCTTGTGAGTGAAAGTTGTAACCTGATAGTTAATTGTGTTTTTAAACTGCTCTTTTTTTTTTTTTGTCATGACAAACACTTGCTAAACAGGTGAACATTTCACAAATCTGAGGCACAATGTTCAAAACATGCATAATAATAACATTTTTTTTCTACATTAAAGGGGTCATATGATGCGATTTAAATTTTTCCTTTCTCTTTGGAGTGTTACAAGCTCTTGGTGCATAAAGAAGATCTGTAAAGTTGCAAAGACTAAATTCTCAAATCCAAAGAGATATTCTTTATAAAATTTAAGAGTCAACCACACCTACCTAAAACGGCTCGTTCTAACACGCCCCCACATGTCTACGTCACTATGTGGGAAGATTTGCATAACGCCGCCCAAATGTTCACGCAAAGAAAGAAGGCCTAACTTTTATTCTCGCTGTAGTATTGTTGTTGCCGCCGCCGCCATGTTGTGAAGACGCTGTGTTTTTAGTTGTGAAAGTGAAACTACTTTGATTGGTCTTCCAAAAGAGGACACGACTAGAAATCAGTGGTTAAGTTGTATTTACAACACTGTTCCAGAACACTTCAACCCAAATATCCAGATGTGTATTTGTTGTTTGTCATTTCTCTGATCACAAATACAGACATGGTTTTATGTTTACGCGGCTCGATGAAACGCAACGCGTAAAAATACAGTATAAGTCATTATAATCAGTAATTATGTCCCCACTGGATGCAACGAATGCCTCATTTGTAATGGGTTTTAATGTTTTTGAATCATTGCTCCGGCCGGACACGGCCTCAACAGTATGGTAGGGGCGTAACATTTCCGTCTCACGCTTGAGGTATTCGGCCAATCAAAACGCACTGGATAGCTGTCCAATCACAGGCCACCTCACTTTTCAGACCGATGAGCTTTGTAAAAATCGACGCGTTTCAGAAAGGCGGGGCATAGAGGAGAAACAATAATGTACAGTATGTGGAAAATAATGTGTTTTTTTAACCTTAAACCACATAAACACATTTCATTACACCAAATACACAAAATAATGTTCTTTTTAGCAACATCATATGACCCCTTTAAAATATGCATGAGTAGACTTAAGTAAAATCCTTTTTCAGTCTTATTTCCTTTACAAATTGTCTTGATAGAGAAATTAATTTCTCAGCTTCTGCATGCTCTAACGGGTGATAATGTTCCAAATCATGAAACAGCTTTGTGATCCCTGACTTTGACGGCACGATGCAGATGTAAATTAATGTTCATTAACAAAAACAGTAAAAACAGTAATATCTTTAAAAATTGTAACAACCTCATATTTAATGGGTAAAATTTTTATATTCTGACTGTTCGAGACAGACTCTACTTTTATTAAAATTAACCATTGGTCATCTACAGCAGTGGTTCCCAACCACGTTCCTGGAGCCCTGCAACACTGCACATTTTGCATCTCTCCTTTGTCTGACACAACCATTTCAAGTCTTGGAGTCTCAGGTGTGTTTGATGGTGACATGGAAACATGGAAAACATGCAGTGTTGAGGGGGGGGGGGTCTCTGATCTATAGTATCACATAATTAGATCATGGTAACCAAAGGTAAAACCACACATAGCACCTCACTACCATGGTAAAATGCAACTATATGGTTTCTATGGTATTTGAATGAAAAATGAGACCGATCTCCTAACACTGTGCTGCCTTATGAACCCATCTGATAATTGGTCCGTGTGATGCAGCTTTTATCACATTAACATTATACTGAACATGTGTTATCGTTCTATTGAGGGAAAAATATATTGTGACAATTGTCATTTTATCGCCCAGCCCTTGTATGTATAGACATGTTATGCAAAAATGTAGGTAGAGCCACTTTTTTCCAATGCACCTATGTTGGCATTTTCCTCTTTTGATGACTTCAACAGAAAAGCTGAGGAGGTCTCTGCTCTATGAGGTCACTTCCTGAGGGACCTGGGGTGTTGACAGGCTGGCCTCGGGGGTCAAGGTAATGTCATGAAGCAGACTCTCTCTTTGGTTTCTCCGATGACACACCTTCGCTGCTAAGCTTATACATGATGAGAGACGTACAGTAGGTAGTACAGCACAGCGGTTTATCTTATGTATCATAGTTTGCTGTTCTGATATGCTTGCTTACAGAAAGCAGAATATGAAAATAAACAAGTCTTTTCAAATAGAGGTGATAATGTTTCCCTTATCTTTTTTTTGTGACGCCAATGGCAGTTCGTTCAAACTCTACAATAACACTCAAGTCACTTGGTGGCAGATGTCAACACAGGCAGGTTGTGTGAAATGGCCTCGGCACAAGAAAATAACTTTATTTTTGACCTCGAGAAGTCTGTAAAATGTGCAATCTTACCTCTATTCCCTGGTTGATTGCTAACTTGGCTATTCTAATAGCTATTGGCCCCTGAAAGAGAACAATCATCAAAGCTTCATCAGAACAATGTACACTAAGAAGATGTTAGCTGAATGAACTAGCACAGCTGTTTATACCTGAGGGATGATTTCACGGGCCAGATCCAGAGCTCGCAGATACGCCGCATCTCCAGTCTTATTCTGCTCCACAGCGTGATTCACCAGGCCGAGACTCTTGGCTTCGTCACCGCTCAGCACCCGAGCCACAAATATCAGCTCTTTAGCTACGGACACTCCTACAGTTCGTGGCAGAAGCTGCGTTCCCCCTACAGCCAGAATAGGACTAATAAGATTCAAAGAACCAGTTATTCTATTAGACATGTTATTTAAATCTGTGACCGAGAATCACACTCGTGCATAATACTGTTGAAAAGTTTGGGGTTTGTAAGATTCTGAAATGTTTTTTTGAATGGAGTCTCTTCTGCTTACCAAGGCTGCATTTATTTGATTAAAATACAGTAAAAACAGTAATATTGTGAACTATTATTACAATTTAAAAGAGCTGTTTTCAGTTTGAATATATTTGAAAATGTAATTTATTCCTTAAACTGTATTTTCAGCATCATTACTCCAGTCTTCAGAGTCTCACGATCTTCAGAAATCATTCTAATATGCTGATTTGCTGCTCAAGAAACATTTCTGATTATTATCAGTGCTGAAAACAGTTGTGCTGCCCAATATTTTTATGGAAACCAAGACAAAATATATCAGGATTGTTTGATGAATAGAAAGCATTTATTTGAAATAGATGCTGTACACTTAGCTGTATACCAGCCTTTCAAAAGCTAGTTTTCTCTGTTGTCTAAGACAGATGTGATTTCTAAAGATGCTTTTTGTCAATTTTTTTATTTCAAAATAAAGTGTTACAAAACTTCTCATTTGAGCACAGGTCAGTTCTGATGAGAATTAGGAAAATTTTGAAAAAAGTGTGCTGAAAGTGGGAAAGAGGACACAAACTCGGATTCAGCCACTTGTATTTCTGAGATGATTAAAGCGCAACACATGTTTTAATTGACAATTCACTGCCTCAGTAAACTCCTAATTTGCTGCTTATTAATAGTTAGCAGGTAGTTGTTAAGTTTAGTATGGGGTGGATTAAGGGATCTAAAATATGTTCATGCAGAATAAGGCATTAAAGGTTAGTTCACCCAAAAATGTAGATTCTGTCATTATTTACTCACCCTCATGTCGTTTCAAACCCATAAGACCTTCGTTCATCTTCGGAACACAAATTAAGATATTTTGGATGGAATCTGAGAGCTGTCTGACCCTGCATAGACAGCAACGCAACTGAAATGTTTCCAAGTCCAGAAACGTAGCAAGGAGATCTGTAAAATAATCCATATGACATATGGGGTTCATCCGCAATTATACGAAAATAATGACTTTATTCAACAATTCGTCTCCTCCGCGTCACCCTGGTGCCATTTTGGAGAGTATCCGCTGGAGGTAAACAGCGTATGCTGTTCTGTGTCAGCTGCGTCACACAGATACGCTGTTTCCGTTCAGATCAAATCACAACAACGTAGGAAACGCATCCGGCGTGACGGAGGAGACGAATTGTTGAATAAAGACGAATTGTTTTTTTTTTTCTTTTGCGCACAAAAAGTATTCTCGTAGCTTCGTATAATTGCGGATGAACCACTGATGTCACATGGATTATTTTACAGATCTCCTTGCTACGTTTCTGGACTTGGGAACATTTCAGTTGAGTTGCTGTCTATCTAGGGTCAGACAGCTCTCAGATTCCATCCAAAATATCTTAATTTGTGTTCCGAAGATGAACGAAGGTTTTACGGGTTTGAAACGACATGAGGGTGAGTAATTAATTACATAATTTTCATTTTTGGGTGAACAAACCCTTTAATATTTGCTTTATAAACAGCCAATATGTTAGTAATATGCATGCTAGTTAAGAGTGAGAAATGGTCCTGAAGGGGTCATATGATGTTGCTAAAAAGAACATTATTTTGTGTATTTGGTGTAATGAAATGTGTTTATGCACCCACAATTGCAACAAAAGACTGCATCTCAACGGTGCCCCTGTCCACCTCTCATATACCTAGAAACTTTCACACGATCAATGCTTACTGCACACATTTCAAAGGTGTTGGTCATTTATCGAAAGAGTCACGTTGGAAGACAAACTCTCATGACCTGTTTCAGCATGATATCGACTCACAGAGGAGGCTGAGCGTTAGAAACACCTGTCTTAGAAAATTACACAAAACAAAGCTAATTGTTTTACACCGAGTCTTGAGATTTGGTTCTTACAAATGACTGGTTGCACCCATGTTCCTAGGAGCTTTCATTTATTTCAATTTACACAAAGCTTAACCTTAGCAAGGAAAATGGTCCTAACCATTTTGTATTTAGTTCAAAACAGCAGAATAAACAGAAATTAGCAGCAGGCAAATGAAGGCAAACAGAGAGTGTGTGTGTCCATGTTTGAGAATCTGAACCTGTGCATCCTTATGACAGACTGTAATGTTTTTAAACAATAGCAGCAACAATCGTATCTATTCAAAAGCAGGAAATGAACTTTATTGATACCTTGGTAGTATGTTGAAAGCATTTACTGGTTTAGCTAGAGGCTCTTGGCATAACAAGTACTAAGAAAAAAGATATGTGCTAAAGTTCAAGTTAAAGGCAAACTTGCATTTTTCAAATGTTATAAATATTTTGATGTTCTTCTATCAGAGTTTAAAGAAGAGTTGAAGATTCTGTCATGATTTACTGTAAACATTCTCATATTAAAACCTGTATGCTGTCATTTATTCCCATAGAAATTAGATGCTTTAATATTTCCATACAACTACATTACAGTACAAAATGAGCAGGGCTGTCAAGTTCTAGGACACAAACAAATAAACATCAACGTCAGATTAAATTTAAAAGCAGATCAAGTGATATCTGGCAAGCGATTAGGACATTTTATGTACATTAGATTTCAGGTCTTGTGATAAATTTCAGTCTGCTCTTCAGAAAAATAACGATAATCACGTCTGCATTCCAATTAAAAAATGCCACTGGTTCAAAACTGGTTTCCTTGTGTGGCATGACTGAATGCAGTTACGTAACTCAGAGAGTAAGAGATACAGTAAGAGGTATACAGTGTGTAAGAGATACAGTATGTTGCCGAAAATGGTGAAAATTCCTGTGGATGAGAAGACTGTCAGTGAATGATTCAAATTTCAGTCTGTTCCTCACATTATCGTCTGACTTCAGAAGACATGGATGGAGAGTGCAAGTCAAACGGACTAACTTTAGGGTCCTTGTGCTTTTTTTTTTTTTAGTTATCTTGGACATGAATTGTTGTTGTATGGAAAATAGATTTCAAAGAAAACACCACAACATACAGGCTTGGATGGTGACTAAATTTACATTTTGGGGAATTTCTTTAATGAGTCGGTTGTGACAAGAGGTGCACATAAGTGGTGCGCAGGCCGATCAAAAAATAATAATAATTCCGCTGGGTACAGTAAATAAGTTCAGATTGCTCATTTGTTCCAAGTTTCAAGTTCCAACATGGTTGACAGCTGTTAATGCACAATCACCATTTTAAATCGACTAACTGTAATACTGTGTAAGATGTCCATTCGAACTGAAAGCATAAATCTAGCCTACACACGGCCCGTTTCAGAGCAAAATGCAAAACTGTTACATTGCTTTCATTGACGTGCTTGAAGCCCCGTTCACACAACAAGCGACACGTAACGACAAAGCGACACGATCCCATTCATTTCAATGGAGAGCTGGCGATTTCCGGCGGCACGAGCGACAGTGACCGGATGGGGCGTGTCCAGCGACGCTACAAAGTTTAGAATCCTTCAACTTTATGCAAATGAAGAGCGACTTTCGGGAGCGACAGCCAATAGGAAAGAAGACGGTAGAGCTCATGTGACCATTCTCCTCTCAGCTCCAGCAGTGACGCTGTTTCGTTTTTGCCGTAGATTAACATACGCGATGGAAAAGAGCAGGCTCTGTTTCTCATTCATTTTTGTTTTTATGTACGAATTCAATTTATATTATATTATATTGCCTCCAAAATGTTTGTATTTAGCGGCAAGAAAACTGATTCGCTGTCAACAACGACATTAGGCAGCCAGTAGTGAAAACGCCCACTAAACGACCTCATCGCCAGCCAGCGACATGCAGCGACAAAAGTCTGCTAGTGTGAACGCAGCTTCACTCGGCAGTGGGGATGGGCGGATCGATCCTTAAGTATCGATACTTTCGATACTGGTGTTGTATCGAAAGGATCGATCCTCACATAAAAATATCGATTCTAAAGTGCATTTTTAACCATTCATTTTATTTATTTATCAAGAAATTTGGTGCATAAAAAAAGCTTCTTAGCGAATAATTGTGTTGGATAGAACCATTTCTCCTGCTCATCGGAACACACGCAAATGCTAAAAGATCAATCACAGACAGTGTTCGCTGCTGACGCATGGCTCAGTCACAGTGCTTGTTCAAATAGGGATGCGTTTCCCAAACCCCAAACTTTTGTGTACATGTAATATTTATTTTAAATTGGCTAGTTTGTGCAAGTAAATTTATTTAAACTCGTTGTTAAAAGTTCAAATGGACTGTGTTATGTTCTGTAATTGCTGTTAATAAGTCTGTGAGAAAAACAATATGCTAAAGTTTAACCTTTAAGGGTACAACAGCCTTGGCAGCCTTTTACAAAAATTACCCATGGTTTTATTACAGTAACCACAGTTCACCACAGTACTTGTACTAAAACTGCAGTAACCACAAATTTACTATGGTAATAATAATAATAATAATACATTTTAGTACTTATGTTACACCATGTTTATTTCTCA